GCTTCACATGGCAGGAAGGGATGTCGCTCTCTCCCTCTCTCATAATGACACCTGTCTGACTGTATCATGACCTCATTGAGCCAGAATCACCTCCAGGAAGGAGGACTTCTGCTGCCCAGAAAGGCAGAGAAACTTCAGGCAGCCACGTGGTTCACAAAGCTCACACAGAGCTTACTTTCTATATTCCTCAGGGGCTGGCTGGTGGAGAAGGCAACTTCTACCAAGAGCAGTAAAGAAACAGCAAGTCCACCCTGTGTGTTTACACTGCAGGGAGGAAGGGGTCATGTAGGTGAAGGTGTGGCTGGGAGCCCTGCTGGTGCCAGGGACAGGACATCTCCTCAGTGTGCAGGACTATCAGTACTACCCAGAACACTCAGCACCATGGGCCCCCACTGGTGATTCCAGGAGCCCCTGTGGGGTCCTGACAGCCCTAGAGCCACCCTGATCTTTCACCTGACTCTGGGGTTGGCACCACTCTGGGCTGAGAAGCACTGGACAAGAAACCCTCCGAGACTCCTGGTGATTTTGTGTCTGAACGGCCTTAGGAAATTACACTCCAATCTGAGTAGAGCCTGGACTTGACAGCATCTATGGGGCAGATTTCCCCAGAGCTTTAGTTGTTGCCACAAACCCAGGGCTAAAGACCTGATGATGGAATACTGGGCTAAGGCCACAGGTTTCTCATTTCTCTGTGTCCACTCCCTTGAGGATGACATCCAGGCTCATGGTTCTAACTACCACCCCTATGCTGAATATTTCCAAATACCCGTTCCCACTAAGTCCTTTATCCTGAGTACCACACACATGTGCAGCTCCAGCACAAGGGCTCCTGCACCAAGATATGCAGGCATGTCCAAATTTTACCCCCACACATCCTCAGCCTGCTCCTCTCCCTTCTCCCCTTTTTAGTCCTAAGACACCACCTCTTCCTCACCTCTGCTATGCCCTTGGACCCTCCAGCCCTCCTGTCCTGCTGTCCCACCTCCACCATGGGCACAGACCTGACTCTCCTCCAAGGCCACCTCCCATCACCTTCTGCATGGACAATGGCAGCAGCACGAGACAGAGGACAAGTGCTCAGAAAGACACTTTCAAAATTCCTGTTGTTAATTCCTCCCCAGGTTTTGGCAATTTACCTGGAATTTCAAACAAATGAAGCAAGGTGGACAAAAACTTACCCATTTTCAGGGTGAAATTGTAGTACCAGGACAGGCCACCTCCTCCCTGTCACCCACAGGGCCTGACAGCCCTGAAATCCTGCTTTCATGTACATATTTCTTCTTACCATAACATTTCTATACATTTAAAAAAGTAAACAAAATACCCTAAGTGGTCCTCAGCTCTGAATCCCTGGTCCTCCCATCTGTCCCCAATGTAACAAGGGGTGGCTGCCCATTCTGGAGACAACACCGGCAGGTCCTGCAGTTCCCCTGGGGTTCCTGCAACCTCCATTCACCCTCTTTTCAGTGATTCTTGATGTCAACGAAGTACTGGCATTGAAGCTGCACCAGGCACAGTGCTAAGCAATCAGTCACTCAACAAGTACTGAGTTTTTGAGTGCTGTGAGGTGTCAAATAACACCCCTGGCTACAATACCACACTATTGTGATGAAGAGGGGGGAGAAATAAACGAATCACATGGTGATGAGACCTATGGAGAAAAACCAAGCAGGGAAGGGGTGGGACTTGGGTTAGGTCACAGGGCTGCACTCTGGGCAGAGGTCCAGGAAGGCCTTGCTGAGGTGGGTCCTTGTACACAGTGTTCAGTTCTCACAGGTTACGGTGCTGCTGTAGCACTTTATGGATGACAAAGGCCACAGAACAGCTGCAGGGTATGGGATTCAGTCCAGGCTACAACACTCCAAAACTCTTTATTTTTAATCTCCACATGCACTATTTTCACCTTATCACAACTGGAGACTGAATTCTACTGTGTGGACATTAGATCTGCACAGAGAGAGACTGCAGAGGAAAAAAAAAAAAGACTTTAAATTTACTCTCTTTAAATTATCATACATGGTTCAAATTCCCAAGAATGAAGGAGCCTAGCCCAAGGGCACCCGTTTTCATGGGAACTGGGTCAGTGTCCCCCTTAGAGTTCATTTTTGAGGCATTTGTTACTGTTTGTGTCTAGATACCCCCCCAAAAGCCTCGTGCAGTCATAGGGTGGGCTTTTACAGTTTATGATTGATCCATGATCCAATGCTGGGATTACGGGTATGAGTGCTACACCCACCCTGGGGCAGGCAGCCTGCACACAACATAAGGGACAGAAAGAGGCTTGCTCTCTTGTTGCTTTTCATATCTTTCACTGCCATGAACTGCTGCCCCTCTGCCATGCGCCACACTGCTTTGGAGGCAGCTGATTATGGACTGAAACCTCTACAAACTGTGAGCTAAATAAACCTCTTCCCTTCTCTAACTTTGAGTGTCAGGTATTTTGTCTCAGTAGACTGAGAGAAAAGTAACTAAGATAGCATCTTTCCAATCATGAGGTTGGGGTGGGACAGCTGGCTTCCCATCAGCACTTCTGGGCACCCTCAGGGCTGGAGAATAGGCAAGAGGACTGAATGGAAGCCAGCCAGGCACCCAGAGAGCCATCAAGAGTCTCTGTTCCATGGTGTTCTTTACTCTCCAGTAGACACCCTGAAGGGATGTCTTAACTCTTCAACTGATATTCAGTAACATGGCTGTCCTAGAACTGACTCTTCAAGGAGGTCACAGCTGCTCCATTCCACGTACCAAATTGACTGTGAATAGAATTTAATTTAGTCCAAATCCCACAAATGTGGAAGGCTTCCCAGCTGCTCCTCTAGCACACACGAAGAAACACAATGCAGAGGATAGACTACAATGAACCCACTGAGACATTTCTGCCAGGGGATGAATATGCAAACATCTGCTTGGGCAGACTCCTACTCCAAGAACACTGGGAAAAGTATGTATATATAGTTTGGGGGACATTGCAGGGACTTGCAATGGAGGCAGCAGAGAAGCTAAGCCCACCTGCTGTCAACCCTAGAAAGCATGTGATTCTCATCCAGCTCCACAGTAGAGCAACAATGATGACACCTTAGAGAGAAACCAGATCTGACCAGTGGTGACTGAAACACCATGGGGGTGAAATTTCAAGGAGTCCACTCAAGTCCCAGGTCAGGTTTTGCAATGAATCCACCGAGACTCCATGCCCTGGGGAAGGCTGAACCCTTCTTCCAAGCTGTACTGGTAACCTGGCCTTAGGTCAGTGACTCTGGGTCACTGATGTCCCCTCTCTGTGACACAAAGACTTTTACATCTTGTCACAGCTTGTGAAGATCCTATAAGCAGGTCCCTGAGGGTTGTTTGGCATGTACCAGTTAGCCTGAGGTGGACAGCAGTGAGGACACACATCAGGATGGTCCTAAAGGCACAGGGACCTTCCCCAGAGACACACGGGTGTACCCACCTATAACCGCCCACACAGGTTCAGCCCTGAGACCCCAAAGAGTTATCGACCCCAGACCAGCAGCCCTTTATTTCAATAGGTTATTTACTGAAGCTGACTTTAACCAAAAACACAGCACAAGGCAGTGACGGTGAAGCTATGGCACGTGTGCCACAGTGAGTTGTTTGTTACCATTGGAAGCTCTAAAAGGTTCGCCATCACTGGCACAAGATCTCAGTAAAACTGCCTTTAAAAAAAAATGATTGAATCACAGGAAACACTGGGTGAAGACAATCTTCTGGAGTAGATTTAGGAAAATGTTGAAATTCTTAATATCATGTATAATATGTTTAATTACGCTCACATGTCATACAGTCTATTAAATCATACACACTTTTCTCTGGTCCCAAGGACCATGAAGCATGTTTCCTAAAAGATAAACTGTTATAGTGAACAGAACTGGCCAGAAACAAAAGAGGGCTGCTGAAAAAGAGGAACAGGACAGGAGGGCCCTGGAAGTAAGCAGCACCAACGCTGCTGATGAAGCTCCCTGAGAGTGAGAGGGAATCCTCTTTTAGTCAACAAGGAAAACCATCAACATGCATGAGCATCAACTTGCTGCCTTCTCTCTCCATGCTGCCTTCCTCTGCAGTCTCTGAAGCGTGCACCATGAGACAAACACCCTTGAGTGCTCTCTGGGTGGCTCTCCTCAGTCCACCTTCCTACCTACGCTCCAGCACTGAGAGGGCCTGGAAATGCTGATGGGAAGCCAGCTGTCCCACCCCCAACCTCCGGACTGGAAGGATAGCTCAGAAAACAACTGTAACACTGGGAGACTGACCCAGCTCCCCTCTTGGGATGGGCTCCTTAATTCTTGAGAATTTGAACAACAGCCCATTAAGGTTCTCACAGCGAGGCTCATGGTACAGGGTAACGATGAGAACTATTATTACCTTCCCAGATAGTGGGGGTAAAATACCAAAATGTCCAGAGACCCCAGGTGTCTTATACCTATCTATCTCAATCTCTAAAGCACAAAAAAAGGACACGAGTTAGGGCCTTTCCTGAGGTCTGTCTGGTACAGGTCAGTCAGCCTGAGGTGGACAGCAGTGAGCACACGGGAGTGCAGTGCTCACGGGTCCTCTCGCGTCCTGTGTTTCTGCTTCATTTAGCGCCATCCCTGCTGGATGGGTAATTTTCACTCCAATCTCCAAACATTTCCAACTTACACAGTCCCAAAAACCAGCACTTCAGATTTCTTCTTTCCAAGGCTGAGGACAATGGAAAACTTTTAATTTTGTGAATGGATCTTCAGAATAACAAGTGACCAGCAAATACAAAGCCAGTACCACAACTTTCTTCCTGGCCAGCAGACCATGGTCTGCAAACCACAGCAGGAGACAATCTTCTGCTTCCTAGGGGAGTCCCACTGCTCCATGCCTCAGGATCTTTCCCAGTCTGATGACACTGTGAAGATCACCACACACAGTTTCCCAGGGCAATGGAACGAGTCTAGAGACAGAGTAAAGCTACTTTACAGGCCTGCACAAAAGCTAGTGCTTGGCTGGGTACTCACTGGTCATGCCGGGTGTCAGGGACGGCTCTGTCCATGCGCAGCTTATCGCTCTCCACCTGGTTGAACTTGTTGCGGGCATAGGGGTCCTGCCCAGAGCGAACCATTGTCCCCCCAACATAGGCTTCCTGGTTAAAGTCTGGCCACCGTACTTTCCCTGAAAAGAGCAGAGCGGACAGGTGGGACAAGGGAAAACAAGACAAAGGTATTCTTCCCAGAGACCACAGCAAGTGTCAATTTAAGAAACAGTGGCTGTGGCCCTTTTCCCTAAGCAATTTCAATCAACAAACTAATGACAACTGCGCCAGCCAGTACCATCATGTCCATATGCCTGAGTGGGAATCCAAATATTTACAGTCTACAACAAGAACAGCAAAGGCCTGGAGCTCAGAGATCTGTCTAGAGGACCAAGTAGAACCAAAGCACCCCAAAATATAAATAGTAACTATGGTAGCTGTTACGGTTTGTGTCTAGATGTCCCCCCAAAGTCTCATACAGTCATGGGGAATGGGCTTTTCAGAGGTGGCTGAATCTAGAGTTTGTGAGTGATTCACGGACCGATACTGGAATTAAGGGTATGAGTGTTTTACCTCCCTTAGCAGGTAGGCTGCATACAATATAAGGCACAGAAAGAGGCTTGTCCCTCCCCTCTCTTGTTGCTTTTGCTGTCTGCAGCCGCTGTGAACTGTTGCCTCTCTACCATGTGCCACGCTGCCTTGGAGCCAACCCATTACAGACTCTACAAAGTGTGAGCTAAATAAACCTTTCCCCCTTTAACTCAGAGTGTTGGATATTTTGTTTCAACACGAGAAAGGTTACTAAGACAGCAGCAGTAATACTTCTACAATAGGAGACATTCCCTGCTTATTCTACTTTCTAGGGATTATAGTTAATGCCTAAAAGCATTCCAGGTGAAAAAGGTAAGATATAAATTAACTATGAGGTAAGCCATTATGCAACATCAGTTAACACATAAGCAAACGTTTACATGGTTGGGGCTCAGGACGCAGAGAGACAGCGTGGACGCACTCAGGAGGCAGCAGGCGCAGGCAGGCCAGCCTCTGAAGCCTGAGGGGCCTCTGAGAGATGGCCAGCTGCTCTGAGTCCTGTCCCTGGATACCCTGTCACCCAAAGAAGACCACTGCAGGTTACAGGAACGTGATCAGTTCAGATACCACCCCACCCAGACAAACCTTGCTCTGGGGCTGTTTGCCTAAGAGTCATTTACTTTTCCTCCAATTTGCTCACTGCCCACTCCCCTCTCCCCTATGAAAAGGGCACATGAGCTCCTAAATCTCACTAGGTTCCTGGTACCACTTTTCATCTCTGGATGTCCCATTCATAGAATGCCTCTGTACCTTTTCCCATGTTCCTCCATCCCTCATTGGCTTATTTCAGCAGACTCCACTATCAAATATTAAAGGGGGAAAGGAAAGTTCCTCCTGCCCCCATAATACAAAATGGTAGCTCCCTCAAAGAACAGGATAGCAAAGGCCCCTCAGTAAGACCTCCTTGGAGTTACCTGCAGCTGTTAGCATGCCTGATCCCCCAGGGAAAGTAAATGATGTGGCCCTCAGAGACACTCCAGTAAGTATAGCTAGGACCCAGCCATTTCTTACACACAGGTCTTTTCCTGGGGAGGACCCCAAATGGCCTGCCTGCCCACTGACTATCAGAAGGCTGATCAGCTGATAAAGCCAAGCACAAGGTTCTCTGGATCCAGCACTGGGTCGGGGCTCTTCCCAGGATCAGGGGGAGCAGGGGCAGTATTAGCAGCAGATGGGCACTGAGGGAGAAGAGCACCGCTAAGTGGGTACATCTGGGCCAGCCCATGTACAATCAAGCAGAGCAGAGAGACAAACAGAGGTGAGATGCTCAAGGAAAAGGTGGGAGGAATGTGGAGAAGGACATTCTTTAGTTACTATTTTGTGTATTGCCTGCGGCCTGACCAAGCCATGACTGTTGGGTTCTGGAGGAAGTCTAGCATAAGCATTGTAAGCCTCCAGATCAATACTAGATGCTTTGCTAAGATATGAGCGAAGGAAGATAACATGAGGGCTTACTGGTCAGGTCACATTCCTATGAAAATTGAGTTGTGCTGTCCTTGCTAAAACAGTTGATATTCTCCCATTCCTCTGCTGCCTCCTTGGTGGGTTCTGGATAAAAGGTTACTGAAGATGGTAATCAGGAGTCAGTCAGTCCTAGTGGCTGCTAGCACCTGATCACAGGATTTTGGCTCTCTTGGTTTGATTTTTTCTTACTTTTCTTATACATCTGTGGGCACCTAGTTTGGGGGATCTGTTCACCCTGGACAGAGCTGGGTGAGAAGTCCGACAGAGGAAGGACAAACTCGAGGAAGGAGAAAATCCATGACCCAGCATCTATCCGCTATCCACCACTGTTCACTATGTGCTACCTACATGACCTTCCACTAGGTGTTACATTTCCTCCCAAGTCAATCCACGAGTCAAAAGAGACTGTTTCATGATGTCTTTTTTTTTTCTTTTTGAGACAGGGTCTCACTATGCAGTTGAGGCTAGCTTTGATCTCACTATGTGGCCCAGGTTGGCCTCAAATTTGGGATGATCCTCCTGCCTGAGCCTCCCAACTGCTGGGATTATAGGCATGTGCCACCATGCCTGGTTTCATGAGGCCTTAATGGCCTACTATCTAGCTCTATGGATAAAACAAACTCAAAGAAACGGGGGTCATTTACTCATTCTGCATGTGCCTTCCAACTCCATGGCCAGCATGAGACGGAGGGCAAGGCCAGGCACTCAGCTTGGGTGAGTCTATGTCCAACAACACTGCCCACATGGAGCTCACAGTTTCAAGTGGTTTTGGGGGCTACAGAGAAATACAAGCTAGCTGGGTGCTGGCCTGGTGTGCACAAGGCCCTGGGTATGATCCGTAGCAGCCCCCACAAAAGAAAACAAACACCAGGCTGCCGAGGGGCAGGCAGTCTAAGGCTGCTCGCTGTGTAAAATCTGTACGATCTCTCTCTGGACACTGCACAAACACCTGAACAAAGGAGGGCAGGACAAGCTGCTCTCTGAGATGAGCACAGGGCCCTGTGTGTGTGCAAGGGTCCCGGGACTGGGCAGGGCCATGCCCTCTCAGGAACCAGCCACGAGCCAATGTGATGTGAGAGCCACATCTCCGTAAGTGTGCAGCGCAATGGCTCAGGAAGCCCAGACACCAGCAGGTGCTGCAAGAGAGCCTTTCCCGGTGAGTCCTCCACATGCTCCTTTTCCCCTAAAGAGGAGGAAGCTAAGGTCCAGGTGCCTGTCATTTCCTCAAGGCCAAAGAAGTAAGTCTCTATCTCAGAGCTCATCTGCTTCTTGCTGCGATTGTCTGGGGATGTCGACCATCTCATCTTGCTCAGCTGGCTGCTGTGGAAATGACGCTGGGGTACAGAAGCCCAGCGTCTTAAGCAGGAAGTCAGCTACAAAAGCCTCAAGCCTGGCTAAAAGATTGTGCCATGGCCCAGATAAATGCCTGCCACAGGAGTTGGCCAGCACTAGCTGTTTCCTCTACCTTTAATGAAATGCTTCTATAACATTTTTGGAAGCCTGTTTTCCAGGGAAAGCCAATCCTAAAAACATTTATTGATCCTCCGCTCTCTTCCTTTATGCTGCTGTGTTTTCAGGGATGAGAAGAAAACCTCGCTGTGCTATAGAGCACATGGCCCCAACTCCTCCCATGCCTTGCTTTCTGAGGTAGAAACCATACGCAAGCTTTGGTGCCTTCCCAGATGCATACCAGTGGCCCAATAGGAGGATTCCTGAGAGCTGTGCTAACTCTCTCAACAGGACAAATCTGTTCCTGCACTAAAGGGCTCAGAGCCAGGCATGCCCAGGTCTCATCCCCATCATTCTGCATGTGCCTTCCAACTCCATGTCCAGCATGGGGCAGAGGGCAAGGCCAGGCACTCAGCTTGGGTGAGTCCATGTCCAACGAGAACAGCAGACACAGGACAAGACACGGTCTCTGCTGGCCTCTCAGAGCTTTGAGCCTTTTCTGCCCATGTGTTCCCTGCACCTACAGACCCCTCCTCCTCTAGAGTGAAACAATTACAGCATAGCACCGGATACCATGCAGTTACGGGCCTGAGCTGCCACTAGTGCAAAGGAGGTGGTGACCACGTGCTGGGTGTCACACAAGATCCTGCAGGTATGACAGGGCAAATGCAGGCCCAACGCCCACCCTTGGAGGGTCACATTCTGGGGGTGAGGCGGGAAGATGACCATGAGGTGACTGTATTAATAAGTATATCACTAGAAACAGAGCTCAGTTCCCTGAGGGGGAGGCAGTGGAGTTCCATGGACAGATCCAACAGAACCTTACTGTATTACATTTTTGTCACTACAACCAAATACCTGAGAAAGTCAACTTACAGATGGAAAGGTTCATTTGGCTCATGGTTTGAGAGTTTTTAGTTCATGAGCAACTGGTCCATTGCTTTAGGTCTGTGAGGCAGACATCCTAGCAGAAGGGCACAGAGGAGGAAAGCTGTTCTCCTCATGGCAGCCAGGAAGCAGAGAAAAAGGGAAAGAGCCAGAAAGGAAGGGGTTTGGCACAAGATACAGTCCCCAAGGCCACACCCCCATCATCTACTCCCTTTAACCACGCCCCATTTCCTAAGTTTCTATCACCTCCAAGTAATGCCATAAAACCATGACCTCCTCAATGAACTGATCCACTGGTGAAACTGAGAGCCCTCATGATGTATTCACCTTTCACAAGTCCCACCTTTGAATACCTGAGGCTTAGGAGAACATGTTAGATCGAAGCCACAACACTTATCCAGACCTGGGGACTGGGAGAGTCCCCAGAGAGGTCTGAACAATGCATAAGAGAGAACCAGGAGCCACTGGGACTCCAAGCTAGACCTTTCATGCTCAGCAGCCAGGTCTGATGAGACACCCGCCAAGACCATCATGCCCAGGAGCATATCTCCTCCCACAGACCCTGGCAAGCCCAACATGCCATGATGAATCTTCCCAGGGCAGCGAACTGTGACATCGGAATTGGTATTTCTTTCATAAAGGCCTAGTAGTAACTGGGTATGGTGGAACATGCCTATAATCCCAGCACTCAAGAAGCTAAGGATCACTGCCAAGTTTAAGGCCCGTCTGGCTATATAGTGAGTTCAAG